AAGGAAGCCCTGCACACATGAAGCCTACTTCTCCTTCCCAGGTACAATCTTAGTAGCAGAGATCTGCAATTAAAACATAAATTTGGAAACAAACCCCAAATCTTTTAGATGAGTGTGCCAGTGCAGATCCTAATCTCCCTTGATGTTGGCATCTCTAAGTTGACCTAAGAAAAAAGAGCTGAAAACTTAAAATACTTTTATTTCTCAATCATCTGACTTCTAGGTTACTCATGAGACTTTTGATCTATTCCCAACTATAGGACTTAACAAATTTTTTCACATAAGCTATTAAAGACTTCTATAGACTAGATCTCTCATATAGTGTAATTACACAGCTCAATAACCCTTACCATTGCTACAAACACTTAGCCACCCATTATCTCCCTGTAGAAGTTTTTGAGCAATGATCTTCCCTTATTCAAGTATGCCTGGGCACTCTGGTAGAATTGTAGAGGCTGGCAGTCACCTGCCTACAATCTCTTCTGTCCCTTCTATTCCTATGTTCTCAGCAGGTCATGGTAGTTTTCTGCCATAGAACAGTAAGGACCTACAGATGTTTAAACAAGGGGATTCTAGATAAGGTTTACATTGAGAGGAAGCTCCAACTATTGATGAAATCCATTTGAATTATGATTTACAACAGAACCCAGGTGGTGCTGAAGGAGGGCACCCATGTTCTGATTCATGTAGGGAAGAGTCAGGCATTGAACTATCACAGATCCTGATGAGATGAGATGGGGCATGGTCTTTACCCTCAGTTTCAGAAGTCAGTGGGTGAGGATACTGTCATCCATACTGAATTTGGAGCTTCTGTGGCATTAGAGAAGGAGAAAGATATAAAGCAGACAGTTGGAACTAGGGATCATGGTGATGGGAAAGGCTCTGGACTGGAGAGCCAGTGTTGAGGTATAGTAGAAGACTCAGGCCTGAAGGAGTCTGCTAGGGATTTGTGTTAGAGCCCTCAGTGAGGATCTTGCAGAAGGCAGTGCAGGAAAGGGAGGGGCCAGAAGCTGGGTCAGTGAAGAGTCCTGGAGAACTGAAAACCAACAAAGATTAGCAGGATGTGGAACTTCCATGTCGCTGAAAAGACTTCTAAAAAGGAAGTATGGGTCAGTGGGTGGAAGCCATCAGAGAAGACAGGTAGTCATGCCTTCCATGCTACACCATGAACTCCTTATGTGTAAAAGGCTGTATTTGTTTCTGTTCACTTTTGTGTAACCAGCCCTAGCATGGATTGGATATCTGGGAATCAGGAAAGATTGGTTTCATTTCTATGATAGCACATAGAATTTAATGCCTAGTAAAAGTAACGCTACTATGTTAGTGACATGCAAATATATCTCAGACAAAAGAGTATTTATGACTTTGAAAACCCAATGCAAATGTGCAGAATTGCTATCTGTTGGCAGATAAAATTTCAAATAATTTTTATAATTGTGTCTCTGAAGCACCCTCAAAGCCACCTGCTTGGCAACATTGTCCTCAGCAATGGTATAGGAATCCCTTTATTTCCTATTATGTAAATATTTGGTTCTGCATATTCTGAAGATTTCAAAACCCTGGGCCAGGATTTGAAGCATTTTGCTAAGGAATGTGATCACATCCTCTAGTTCTAATTGTCACTAGTCTGTTACAGCCAGAAGAATGTACTTGAGCTATTCACAATAGATGGTCTTTGACCTTGCACTATTGGTTTATACTTTGATTCATTCATTTTACCTTTGTGATGCTGGCAATCAAACCCAGGGCCTCCCATGTGCTACACAAACTTATATGTCTACAGCTCCCCAGGCCAGATTGTTTGGTGCTTTTAGACATCCTAGGCCAGTGAACTGTAAAGATGGTTGGCACACAAACCACTATGCTAAAAAACTGAAAGTTAAGGTGCTTCTCGTGGCTGGCTCTATGGGAATGAAAGGGTAAAAGGGAAGAGCAAACAGGCATACACACACAAACATGCGCGTGTGCGCGCGCGCGCACGCACACACACACACACACGTATTCACAGGCACAGTAAACAGCTTTGCTGCTTAAAACCTCCAATTGCAAGCCAAGTGGTGGTGGCACACACTTTAATCCCAGAACTTTGGAGCCATAGGCAGGCAGAGCTCTTTGAGTTCAAGACCAGCATGGTCTACAAGAGCTAGTTCCAGGACAGGACGGGCTCCAAACTGTACAGGAAAAACCCTGTCTTGAAACAAACAAACACAAACTTGGCAGTTTCTTCCAAGTATGCACTATAAAACACTTAAATGTAAGTACCCTTGACTCTAAAATTGACTTTTAAAATGTAAACTTATAATACTAAGGGTAAAATAGTTGTATATACCCCTTGTTTTAGTTTTAAATCCTTGGTATAAGAAAGAGACAAGCCTTGAGTACCAGTTGTGAACATTAGCCATCACAACCTTGCACCTGCCAGTGGGTACACCTGTGCTGATCTCTCAGGAATTTTGTGCATGGGACCAGACCTAACGACCAGTGAAAATTAGTGCTTTACTTTTCACAATGTCTGCCAGTTTTGTTACTATGCAAAGAAAGCCAGAGGCCATCATGTGGGGTTAGGGAATGCCTGCTGTGCAGTGTCTGCACCTCCCAGTGTGGTGGACACAACCAATTCCAGACCAGAGGTCTTAGGCCACTCTGGGTGTGGCTGAGTTGCAAGAAGCCCTAAGGGGATAAGATGGTAACTGGCCTGTTAAATGCTCCAGTCACCTCAGCCTGCCACTCAGCATAATTACCTAATGGTGTTGTAGAGCCTGCTTTTGGATAAGCTGTGTCACCTGATCCTGATGCCCAAGTTCAGTTCTCATGTGCCACTAGCACCATCTTGCTGCTTTATTTGGATACTGTCACATATTCAAATGGCTGAGATGAGTTAGGACCTCCTGCAGGCTATAATACAAAGTCCAGGACTGGGTCGTGGGTAATATTGAATGTCAGCTTGACAAGATCTGGAATTAACAAGCAGACAAGGTCCTGGGCTTGCCTGTTAAGGATGATCTTGATTGGGTTAATCTCTGAGCATGCCAGCAAGGGCTCGTCTTGATTAGGTTACCTGAGGTGGGGAGATCCATGCTTACCAGGCTTGTATCCTGCTCTGAATAAAAAGAAGAATTCTACCTGAGTAGTAGCATTTGTCTCTCTGCTTAGTGATTGTAAATGTCACATGACCACCTACCTCAAACTCCTCCCTCAGTGGCCTTGCCAGGATGGATCCTTAAACTGTGAGTCTGAATGGATGTTTCTCGTAGAGTGGTGTTGTCAGGGTATTTTATCCTAGCAACAGGAAAAGTAGAGAATGCAGACTCTGAAAACACTGAAGGACTAATGGAATGTGCTGTTGAATTGTTTTGTGGGTTGTGAACCTGTCATATGATTTTGTCACTTCCTGAGCTATTGCCATGACACCCTGCTTTTGTCCTCTAAGTGCCTGATGAATACTTGTTAATCTGAGACTGTTGTCGCAGAAGGCCTGGGATATTTGTTGCAGAACAGGATCAGAGTGTGAACTTCTGTCTCTGCCACATAGGACCTGTATCCTGATGCGAAGATGCTGTCTTTAAGGACAGAGCTTCCCCTCCTTGTCTAACGTCCCTCTTTGAGTTCTGGGGGTGTTCCTAGTGGGAAATCTTTATTGATTTTGTATGTATAACATAATACTAAAAGTAGATAATGTCTAGATGTTAGATGAAGTAGTGAGCATCTCATATTGCCCTTATCTCTGTGTTGGGAACAGCAAGAATACTGTGGGCTCAGCAAAAATAGTACTCTAGGCCCATATATGCCAGGATGGCTTCTGTGTGCTATAGATTAGGCCTATGAGATACAGACTTAGGAGCAGGTAAAATGTGTTGGAGAAAGTAAAAGGGATGCAGAGCTGGTCCTAGAGAGACAGGTTTTAAGACATGTAGAGAGAATAGAAGGTAGGGTCTTTGGGGTAAGATGAGCCCAGTGAACAAAGGTGGAAGGGAGGAATAGGAATATAAGGCTTACCATCAGGAAGAACAGGGAAAGCAGTTTAATAACTGTACCAGCAGTATCTTCTGGGAGGTGATGGGCTCAGACGTGCTAGCCCAGGCATCCAGACATGGTAGGGGAGAGGGATTATTGAATTTAAGTGGTATTTAAAGAATGGATTAGAGGAACCCCCAGTCTGAGGCATTGCCTTTTAGCCTTTTTTCTAGTGAGATTCAGCATGCTGAGGTTGACTCATTTCCCCTCTACTGTCAGGTGTGTATTGGAGACCTCACAGTGCTAGTCCAGCACTGATTTACTCAGGGATCGAGGGCAGACATGTCCTCATCAGGCTGAGAGTCTTGATGGACATGCTGTCTGTGCCATTAGCACCTTGTCACCCTAACACAGGAACACATAACAGCATCCCTGTAGCAATCTTCTATAGTAGATGCAGTCTCAACCCAGGACTCAGGGGAGCCCAACAGCATTGCAAAATTCAACAATAAGTATTAGAAAACAGTTAACATTTACAAATAGTTCTGTGAACAAGCCAACCAAGTCACATGCTACAAACTCAAGAATGTTCTCATTACTCAAAAAAAAAAAAAATGCACTTAATACCTGCCACCCCCTTCCCTCTTTGGACAACCAGTAGGGCACTTTCTCTTGTCTAAATGCTTCAAACAGTCTCACATCTCTGTTTCATTTATGCATGGCTTTTACCATTTAGCATAATGTTTTCAAAGTTCATCTCTGCTGTGTTCTAGCATGTGTGAAGACTTCATTCCTTTACACTGTTGAATAATATTCCACTATATTGATGTACCAGTCTTTATTCATTCATCCCATGGTTGTCGTTTGACCCATTAGTACTTTGTAGGTTTTATGAATAATGCTGCTACGAACATGGGTGCACAAGGTTTTGTATAGATGTGTATTTTCATTTCTCAGAAGTATATATTAACTGTTTCTGAAGAATATAAACAGCATTTAACTATAAGAGATCTCCTTTTCACCCTTCTTCCTGTGATTATGTCTAGTTCCCACTAGTGGCTGACTTGTTCCAAGATGACAAGGACTCTGTTCCTGCCACCAACACAGCTAAAAATCGATCATCTTCAAAAATCAACATTCGATCTTCCAGACCCCCCATGAAGGTCTCCAACAAGGAGCACAAGAAATCTGTGGGCTTCCAGGTCAGTCCTGTCCCAGGCCTGTGGCATGTGTAGCAGGGCTGGCTTGGTAGGGACTTACAGAACAAGGAAGGGGCCTAGAAACAGGGTCCCACTAAAGGTCTCCAGGTAGTGTAGGGAGGGATTGTCCAACTGAAGTGCTTGCTTTCTAGTATGTCTCCAAAGACAAAGCCCTGGTAATCCCACCTGCTTTTATTTCACAGGGGCTGCCAATTTGAACATTTCATGCAAACCCCACTGTTTCCTGCATGTTTGGGTACAGGCATTATATAACCGCTTTCCCCATATGCAGGGATAGTGGGCCTCTAGCACACAACAGGCAGATCTCTCATCTCTTAGCACTCATGTTTTATCTCATTGACTCCCCTGACAGTGAGAGTTAGGCACATTACGGAGTAGTCTCCCCCATTTATTTTGAAGAGCCCTACTATGGAAGGCCTCAGTTTTACTCACAGCAAGTGTTGGTCACTGAATGTCTTCCTTATTCTGTCCTTCTGAATTAATCACCATAATAAAAGTGATTCCTGCTGTCACTGGAAATTTAGTGTTTCTTCACAGTGCATTCAACAGAATATTAAAAATAACCAAAGTCTGGTTTTACCTCTGCAGTTCCGCACTTCCCTAACCCTGCTGATGGAGACCCTGAATGCCACAACGCCACACTACGTCCGATGCATCAAGCCCAACGATGAAAAGCTCCCCTTCCAGTAAGTGCCAGCAGGGTGTAGCCCCACCAGGCCCCTTATCCTGCCTCAGAGTCAGTAGCCATGGGGCTACATGCTGACCATGCCCTCTCTGGGCATGCTGCTTGCTTGCTTGCTTCCCTTCCGCCACATTTCCAAGGCATGCTTGGGAATACCTCTGCACCTGGATCTGTTGGCTTGAAAGAGCTGGTGGGCAGAGCAGCATCCAAGGCCTAGAAGAGGAGAAATGGAACTTGCTGCCTGTTCTGCTCCAGCCAACTGTGACCCCATCAGTCCATTCATCAAAGACCGGTGTTCACTAAATGCCAGGTTCTCTACAAGGCCTAGTGTACACACACACACACCACCACCACCACACACCACACCACCACACACCACCACCAACACCCCTGAGGGAAAGAGGATGAGAAAGGAAGGGGAAAGCAGAGAATGATAATAAAACAGAATAAGAGAGACTGAAACCAAGGCAGAAAACCTCAATTGTAATCCAGGACCAGAGTTGGCTGATTCCAAGCTGATCTTTACTTCCTTTGTCAATTAGTTATGATTTTACAATATCCTGACTTTGAAAACACACACACACACACACACACACACACACACACACACACACGGAGATAATAAATGAGAATTAACCAGTAAGAAATATAACAATTTATATGATTTAAATGTGTTGCTGTTTATTATTATTATCGGCTGGGAAATAACACGATCAGTGAAGTGTTTGCCCTGCAAGTGTGAGAACCTGAGTTTGGTCTCCAGGCCCACATAAAAAAGCCATGTGAAGTGGTGGGTACTTGTATTCCCTGCACTGGAGATGTGAGATAGGTAGATCGCTGGGGCTCAGTGGCCAGCCACAGCCAAAGTAGTCTAATCAGCAAGCCTCAGGACCAGCTGAAAGACTGTACCTTAAAAAACAGTGTGGATGGTACCTGAAGAACAACACCCACAGCTGACTTATGGCACACACACACATACATACACACACTATACATATATAGCACTATATATGGTGATATAAACTATTGACATTATTCTAGAAACAAAATTCACTATATAGATATATATATATCCCTATTTCCAGTGTTTTGTCCTTAGCAATAATGAAGCCATGCCCAAAGGGTGTGGCCACCATTGCAGGTTCACTGGCTAGACACCGCTACAATCGTGTGTATCAGATAGTATTTGTCATAAACAATTGTCCTGAACATGATATCAAGGTTAGAAGCATCATTGGCCTCTACCTGCCACATGCTAGTGGCATCTCCATCAATGTGAAAACCAATATGTATACACATTACTAAGTGTTCCCTAGGGAGCATAATAGCCCCCATTAAGCCCCCTTGTCCTGTATATTTTTGATAGCACTTCTTGTATAAAAGTATTTCCCCTCTGCTTTTGGTCAAGAAACATCTGTCTTATTTCTTCTTCATTAGACACTTGGCTATGACAGGTAGAATGGCATTGAAATTGTGCCTCTCTCCCCTGGTTAAAGGACTTCCATGTCACAAATAACTGTCACAGAAGTGACTGACTATCAACAATTCTATGAAAATATTATGGGGGTAGGAAGGGCAAGATGTCTCAGCCAGTAAAAACACCTGCCCCAAACCTGATGGCTTGAGTTCAAATCCTGAGAACCCACATAGTTGGAGGAAAGAACTGACTTGGAAAAATACTGTGAAGCAATGAAGTGACTGTCCTCTCTCAGAGAGAAAGTGGTCCAGGGTGGGTGTCACTTTAGAATTACTTGGTAGAGGACCTGGTGAGAGTTACTAACTAACTGGTCTCAGGGTCTTGGTTGCTGAGAGGAGACTATAGGGATGCTGCAGATCCTGGGGAAGTAGCTGGAATCTTATAGCCTGTGCAAAGTTGATAGAGTAGTGAGTGATGATTATAGAAGCTGCAGCTGCGGGCTTATCCGTCTGCAGCCTGAGGCCATGCTGTTCCTGCACTGTTTGAGAACAGTGAAGTGTAAACCTGGCATTCAGCAGTTTACACCTGTGCCTGGTGGGTTTTTTTAGTCTACAGTTAGGAGTTACTTATCATCCATATTGAAAGTGGAAGACTGGTTTTCCATTCCTCATCATACCATAGTGGGGTAGTGATAAGATTAGAACACAGAAGGATCCGGGCTTCCCAATTCCCTGGACAAGGAGGAGGGTGCACCATCTTCTTTGTCCTGTCTTGGTGATTTTTCTCTTGAAAGTTCCTTTTCCTTCTGTGACTGCTGTAGCAAGTCTAAGAGCCATGGTGGGCAGATGCTCTCTACACCCACTAAGTAAGTGAGGGAAATGAGACGAGAGATCATGTCTTGCCTGAAGTGGTCCCAGCTGTCAGTGGAGACCTCCAGCTGTGGTAGTCCACACAGGGGCTGTGGATGGGATACTGATGCTGTCTGAGGCAGAGAATATTTTGCTGAACTGATCACCAAAGGAGATGTTAAAGCTAAGCTAAGAAATAACTTGACTTAGACTAGATGTGGTGGCACATAAGACAGGAAGATCTTAAATTCAAGGCCAGACTGAACCCCACCATGTCTCAAGAAGAATTATTTCCTGATGAGACCATCTCTAGGCATGGCACATGAGAAAACTGCCCCCACCCCCGCTGTTCTCCCAGCATTTCACAATGCTGCCTTGGTATATGGGGTATCCTCACTCCACAAACCATACTCTGGCCATCAGACAAGGCCTAGTCTCAGAGCTGGAGTAAGGAATTTTCAAAAAGCATTATATAGGATGGTACAAGAGTGAGGAAAGATGTGTGCCACAGAGACAAAGAGTAGCCCTCTTAATAAATGAAGGAGCAGCTAAGCATCCTGGCTCATGATCCCAGCACTTGAGAGGCAGAGGCAGGCAACCCCTATGAGTTCTAGATGGTAGCCCAGAGGAAAGGGCTGTAGTAGATATGGAGCCCCGGGACAAAAGTCCCGCATCTATGCTTGAAAACCCTAGAGCATCCATTGACTGCCTTAGAGGTAAGAGGAACAGAACCTGGGCCTGAGGGCTTTCCTGGGATTGTGAACAGAGCTCCTGTCCTAAGAGGCCTCTTCTGGCCCAATTAAGGGCCAGATCCCAGAACTGTGCTGCAGATCCAAGTGGACATAAGTACCTCAGGGCATGGTATGGGAAAGTGTAGGTTCCACCTAGGTGCTCGGTGGTTCCTTTTGTCTACTAAGCCTCTTCCACTACAGAGCTGTGGTCCTTACAAGAGGAAATTAAGTCATAGAGTGACTGTTCTCATCAAGACATGTAAAATTCAACACTGAGTTGTCCCCTATATACATAATGTTGCTAGTGACCTGAAGTTATCTCATGTAGAGCTGAAGGAAGTAGGAAGAGAATTTGGAGATGCCAGGTCAGGGGTGCAGCAGAAAATAGGGGCAGGGTAAGCAGTGTGAGGGAGGTGAGGAGGTAGAAACAAGAACAGGCCTGAAGGAGAGTGTGGGAATCCTCAAACCTAGGACCTAATGGAGTCACAGTACACCTGATAATGCAGTAACAGCTTAGAGACATCAGACTCCAGGAAAACACCTGCTGAATCCAGGCAATCTCGGGACCCTTTGCCAGTTTGATGACTCATGAGGGACGCTCGTGTGGCAAACAGCATGAGAGAGTGATGTGGGTAAGGCCAAGGGAACGTCACACCTTACCAAGATGAGTAAACTATAGATAGTCTATCTCACGGAGAGACAGAATGAGGGTGGCAGTCCCTAGGCCACCTCCATCCTTGGAATTCCAAAATCCTTGTAGGCTGTATAGCCGTAAAAGAGCACTGGGGTTGTCAGGGAGCATGGGGTTTATCCTGTGGGCCAATGTAGGTCCTGGAGCTGGTGTAGTTCCCACTTCTCTTCATCTGCCAGGGTGAGCTAGCTGCCTACAGCCTTAACCAGGTTTTGATCAAAGCCACTGTGCTCTCTGGTACAAGGTTCTGGGCCTTATGGGTCTTCAGACTTGTTCTTTCATCTTCAGAGTGCAAGGAACAAAAGAAGCATAGCCCTTGGCTTCAGTTGAGCCCCTGACAGCCAGAAAGAAGGGCATGTATGTTCCTCATCACTTGTCCAAGGAGGGCCATAGTCTGAGAAAATTCTAAAATGTGGCTTATTCTGAGTCAGTTTGGTTCTTAATAAGATTTCTGGCTGTCCCAGTCTCCTGCTGTCATTCTCCAGTGTTCCCTTCAGCACCTGCTTCCCCACAGATCTTAAGGTGTGCCTTTTGGTGTCTTCTGCTGAGCCCTGTCCTCCTCTTTCCCCTCCTAGCATCACACACACCCTTAAAAAGTCTGTGGAAGGAAGTGCTCAGGGCAAGTTCCGGAGAGTAGACAGAATGGGTCTGGGAAGGTGGGCGTGTCTCAGGGAGGCAAGTGGACAAAGAAAAGGATGGGAGTAAGAATGTGCAGAGTCTCCGGCTGGGATAGCTTAGTGGTGGGGTGGAGTACTTACATAGCATGTTCAAGGCCCTGGGTTCAATTCCCAGCACTGAATCAACTCCATGAATGAATCCATTGTTGGGCAGTGGTGGTACATGCCTTTAATCCCAACACTTGGGAGACAGAGACAGATGGATCTCTGTGAGTTTGAGGCCTGTGTGGTCTACAGAGTTCCAGGACAGGCTCCAAAACTATGAGAAAGCCCATCTCAACAAACTAAACCAAAAAAGAAAAAAAAAAAGGATGTAGGCAGTCTTCAGACTGCTGATGTGGCTTCCTCCATCTTTCAGTCAGTACTTTACCCCGACCTTGTGTGTGGCCATATATCTGCAACTGGTGGCAGCAGGTTTCATATGCCACAAGAGAGGAATGCTTTCCCTCTCTCTCTTGTTCTCCCACCTGCCACCATGTCTTCATGTGATTTATCTTACTTGGCAGCTTCGACCCAAAGAGAGCCGTGCAACAGCTCAGAGCCTGTGGAGTATTGGAGACCATTCGGATCAGTGCAGCTGGCTACCCATCCAGGTAATGCCATCACCCAAGCCTTCCTCAGGCTGCTGCAGAGCCATGGTATGTGCTATCATCCTGGGACAGACCCTCAACAAATCCCCTACATCCTGAAAACCCAAACGGGGTGCTGACAGAAAGAATTTCAGCCCAACTTGAAAACACGAGAGTCAACAGGAACCGGGTGTTGGGGAAGCTTTTCTGTGCAACGTGGCCCAGGTGATGGGCTAGCTAGAACTACAAAGTGGACATCTCAGTCTTATCCTTCATCTTTTCCCCCATTGTACTGTGACAAAATACAGTGGCATAATGTTTGCTGTCTTTACTATTTCAAGTATACAGTCCAGTGGCATTACGCATAGCCATTCTTACCAGCCACCTCAAGAATTCCTTTAATTTTACAAAACTAGAACCATTCACAGCGGCTGGCTGTTTTAGTCTGTCCCCCATTACTGTCATGAAATGCCTGAGCGAACAAAGTACTCCACACAGACTATCTGCATTTTCAGACCGCTTCGAGTTGGTCTCAGTTTTAGTCTGAAAGCCCGAAGTTATGTAGGATGATGTAAGAACATCATCCAATAAGAAGAGGGCGAGTGGCTGGGGTCCTACAGTCCCTCCTAAAGGTGCAGTTCCATTGACCTAACAACTTTCCCATAATTCCCCTTAGCCCTGCTTGCCCCATTATTTTACCATCTCCCAACACTGCCATTCTGCGGCCAAACTTCTAACTCAGGAACCTTCATGGGGAAAACCATACACACTATGGCACGGCATTCCTGTCCCAGCCCCTGCACCCCTGTCTACTCCTGTCTTTCACCAAAAGACATTAAGTCTGTCTACATATTGTCTTTTGGTCAACTCTAGATGCTCCATCTTAAGTGGAATTATGTGGTACCAGTCCTCTTTGTGATTTGCTTATTTCACTATATATTTAAGGTTCTGTGTTATATTTAGCATGTGGTAGAATTTCTTCTTTCAGGCAGAAGAGTGAGCCTTTATATGTATGTTATCATGTTTTACCTATCCTCTCCCCTAGTGTTGGACCTCTCTAACTCTCAATGTGAAAGCATATCTATTGTAGAAAATACAACTTTTTTGAGTTAAAAATAACTCTCATGGAGACTTGGGGGATGTTACTCAAGCATAAGCTGAGTTCAGGTACCCGGCATCAGATGTATTGTCAGTAACCCCATTACTGTATTGGGTGGGGGGATGGATCAGAGACAGGCAGATCTCCAGAGCTTAATGGCCAGCCACTTGATGAGGCCCAGGTTCAAAGGTTATGTCTCTAATTGAAATGAGAAAAGAAGTAAGGTGCCTCAAAGGAGGCACTCAGGGTTAACCTCTGACCCTTGTGTGCATATCTACACACATGCACACACTCACATGAACACACACACCACAAACAAAATGCATGACTCTGGTGATCTGGCCTGGGTGTGGCTATGCCACAGAACTACACTACAGCCTGGAGAAGCCACACCAAGACTGTGGCTCTCCTTTGGGCACTTGCCCAGCAGTGTGAGTTTACTGCACTGGCTCTTCCAAAGTCACATTGCACACTAGTAATGTTGTGTGAGCCAAATGCCTTCTGCTGTCAACCAGGATGGGGCAGTGTGGAGGAGCAGCCCTGGAGCCTGCTTGTGAAGATCCACTACTCTGAGACACCTCTCTTTGGAGATAGGAGGAGCCAGCGTGGGGGTATCCCAGGCCTTCTTCCTCTTTCCTGCACCTGGCACTTTCCCAGGCAGTGGGGGACCAGTTTCATATACTGTGGTTAATTGCCCATAAACAGCTTAACCATAAGCAGCTCCCATGTGTCAGCCCTAGTGGGGAAATTGCTGGGAGAATCAGCACTTGAGCTGGAAAGTAGGAATTGTTACAAATCTGCAGCAGGAGCTTTTCCAGGCCAAGAAGGTTTAGGCAATTGTTCAGGGTAATTCTGGAGCCATGTGAAAGGCTCTTTGAGAAGCAGGAGGCAGTGTCCTTGGAGTCTGTCTCATGTTTCAATCTGAAGGTCAGAGCAGAATATTATAGATCCACCTGCTTTTTCCATCGGCCCTTGCAGTATCTGGCATTGCCCTTTGATTGGTACAGTAGAGCTGGGGTCTGACATAAACCATGTGTGTTCTCATCACCTCTGCCACCTTTCAGAGCTGCCACAGGCCCTGGGTTCAGAACCTACAGTTCCATTCATTGGGAGAACTGGGGGAGGACCTGAGTGATCCCAAGCTGCATCCTTATGAGTGCTCTCTCCTAGCTCTTGCATTAGCTAGTCTCCCAAGACATCATCTAAAAGAGGGCATTGTAGTCCTGCTATTATGAGTTTGCTGATTCTCAAAATTGTATGTTGAGACCCATTAGTGGTCAACAAATCAATCGAATGGGCTGTGGCCAGATTTTCCTTGAAAACATTAGGTTGGAATTGTAATAGAACAGTTTGTGGAAGAAAGGATGTTTAGGCATGACCACATCTCTGTGTTATGGGTAGAAAAGACATACTTAAATCTAACATGTTTCCCAGGGAGGCCCACAGAAGGACGTGGGCTGCTGAGTCACCAGCCAGCAATTGAGTTGGTTCTAGAATCAACACCATTTTGCTTGTACTGTGATATTTCCCAGCAGTACTATTCAAATCAGTCAAGTGCTGCCCTTCAGAAAAGGGATTATTATAACACATAGTTGCCTCTGTGTAGGCATAAGTATCTGAGGGAGCATGAGAGAGGCTTCTGATTTTCTTTTTGTGAAATCTCTGTGTGTGACCTCAAGTCAGTGTTCTGAAATCCCCTAAACTCTCCATGCAACTGAAAAAGTTAATTATAATTTGTATAAAAGGCTTGGTGGTATTGCTCAGTGGTAATGTGTTTCTATGCATGTATAAAGCACTGGGTTCAATCCCCACCACCAAATATACAGAGTGTACGCACGCGCGTGCACGCACACACACACACACACACACACACACACGGGGGGGGGGGAGGATGAGTTACCTCAGCGCAAACTGTTTGGAGGTATTATATAAAAAGCTCAGGCAGGTGGTTACTGAGCAGCCATGCAGGTGGATATAGAACCCTGACCGTGAGGGTATACCTGCCACCTCTGATCCACTGGCTAAGATCTCACTCAGCCTTGCCATGTGAAATCATAGTGACAGTGTGCCACTGTATTTCTACAGGACTTGATGCTGCAGCACAATACAGTCCGTTTTCAAGGTAGAAGGGGGTAATTTATTTCTGGGGTCTCACGAGAGCTTTATGTAGAGTGAGAACAACCTTTTGCCTTCATAGGCTCCTCTTCTCCCACAGTCTCTCTCCATACCTCTCTGTGGAGCATCCAGACCTGTGTTGACACCCCTGCCCACCAGGAGCTCAAATTTAGAAAACACAAGCTTGGAGCCATTTAGGGAGCAATGCAAGGTACAAGGATGTAGAGCAAGTATGGGAAAGCTGTAGCCTCTCAGAGGAGTGAGATTTAAGCTGGGTCTTAAAGAACAAGGATTCAGATTGGTGGGAAAACAGCAGGAGCTGTCACTCCATTGATGGCAAACAAGTTAAGACTACTTGTCTGCCAACTTTGTGCCCTCTTGCAACTGCTAGTTTGTGAGTCATAACAAGCTTATATTCATCTGCCCAATGTCTCGCCCAAGCAGCAAAGAGGACCAATGCCCACTGAGGCTTTAGCCCCACACTGAAATGGCATTGACTGCTCAGCTCACCTGGCTGCAGGTAAAACAGCCACCAGCAGGGATAGCATTCCATGGCTTGCTGGCTCACCTAGTGGATATCTTTTCCTGTGTCCTATTTATTTCAGAGCTTTTTCCAAAAGGAAATTGCAAGGGTCTCTACACCTTTTCTTTTTGTAATTAAAGGTATTGCAGAAAGTTCAGGGAAGAAAGGATGTGTTTCTGGTGATGCAGAAAGCTGCAGTTTAAATGCATGAGCTTAGATCCAGCACATGTTTCCCATGTCCTTTTTGCATTTGTTGCCTTAACACATTTTGCTAAAGGGTCCAAGAGCTGTTTCCCTTCCCAAACTGCAATTGGAAATTATACATTACAGAAAGCAGCACTTTGCTTAGTGTTGAAATGGAGTTGCAGCACCCATTCTATCACGTGCATATCCTAATCCCCATCCATGCTCCTGTCCTCACCAAGCTCCAGCATCCAGTATGCTATTGTGAGTAGCCAAATCTGTTGATCTGACTTGGGGAGACCTTCATGGGACCAGAAAGACTTGAGCAGGTTGAGATTCCCCTGCAAAAATGATTCACCTCCTGAGCTTCTGAGAACTCACAGGGAGTGATTTCCCTTGTATTTGCTTGTCAAGTAAGTGCAGAGCATTTCCCAAGCTCCTATGATTGGAGAAACACCCTCCTGTGTTTCTCTTATTTGAGTGACAAAAAAAGGAAAAAAACCTGTCCAGGATTACAGAGAACTGTGAAAACTCTTTCATGGAGTTCTTCCCAAGGGCTCCAGCCTTTCAGATAATTCTCCCACCCAGCCCAAGTGATGCTGTGGGAGGAATTCTTCCCCCATTTGAAAATGGAGACATAATCAGCACCACTAAATTTCCCAAATTTTACCAGTAAGAACAAGTGTGCATGATTAGTCAGCAGCAGTGTTCCGGGTCTCCCACTCTCCCACAGGCTTCGCGGTGCCTGTCTACTTTTATCCTCCCTGAGAATTACAGCTCTCTAGGAAGCTGACTTATAATGAAAATGTATTATTCAATTTGAAATGCTCTGCAGTAGCTAAGAAATATCCTCACTGTAAAGAGCATAAAGAAAGGTGATGGATGGACTGTCTAGGACAGCAGCTCCCAGATGCCTCTTGTTCTTGTGTCTGTGCTGTTAACCATCTCTAGGCGCTCTCACAGCTTTATAACTGAAAGAACTGTGAGGCAAATACTGCTCAGCCAAAACAGATGTGGGAGGACTCCTCAAACATACAGTGTTTGTATCAAAAAGAAGCAAGACAAAACCTCATGCACACAGTTCTCATCCTATTCTTGGAAGCC